TTGAACCTTCTCATGCATCTCATTAAACGGCTTAGAGATTATTAAAACATTTTTTTCAAAAAACAATAACAGTTAACGTTCAAAATGTTCGCGTACGACGGTTGGTCGGTGGTGGTGGTTACACACCAAGAAACGTAGCCCCCTGTATTATTCTACAGTTATTATATGAATGTATATCATGTATGGTCTCCCTTTTGATATCTAGTTGTATATCNATTAAAACATTTTTTTCAAAAAACAATAACAGTTAACGTTCAAAATGTTCGCGAACGACGGTTGGTCGGTGGTGGTGGTTACACACCAAGAAAAGAAACCATCAACTGTGAGGAAATGGTTAGGTCGTTCATTAGCTAAAGTAATTTTTCGTTTTTTCCACTGTGATTAATTTTTAGTTATAGAAGAGAAGAAGAAATCCCTCGATCGTGGATTTTAGTGATATGAGTTAAAGTTTGTTGAAAAGTTCAAAAAATATTAATGACTGAATAATTCAAGCTTTCGAAGGGTTTACTTTTGGACCATCGATAATTGAAGAATATGAAGGGTCAGGCTCTTTTTGTGAGATCTGTTATAAGTATGTTGAGCAGATCTCGAGACATAGAGAAGTAATTGTTTGAATTTAACTTTCTATTCCACGTTTCCAAATTGAAGAATCTATTTGATTTTTGAAAATTTAGACACACATTAAAAAAGATCTTGTGGATAATTTGAAAGATATCAAGAGAGAAATAGCGGAATATACCAAAGATCTAATGAATGAAGAGAAGATAATTCGTGAGAATACGAAATTCTTCGAAATTTTGTTTTTTTCTAGATGTTTTTATTTTTTCTAATAATCAGAAGTGGTATAATTTTTTACCCATTTCATCGAGCTCACACAAACTGGGAAGCAGGATATCCGAAATGGAGTGAAGAATTGAATGAAATAGATCAAACTGAAAGTGATAACGATGAACATAGTGCTAATGAAGAAATCGGATTAACATGCAACAGAGAAGTATATTGATATTGTTGTCTTAAATAAGAAATTTTAGAGCTACATTAGCGATTTGATTTTCTAGCCGGGATGTTATGTGCTATTATGTGTTACTGGGGTATCCGCTACTCCGAATGCTTTGTAATCATTGAAGTTAGCAGCAGTCTCGCCAGATGCACCATAAGCATTAACGTTAGTGTACCTTGAGTTAGTTTGAGACATTAAGTGTTATTAAAAAGTTATCAAGCACCATAGATTAACATCATCACCAGCTTGAGTCCAATAGTTTGTGATCAGGCCTCATTAATTTAGCATTAATTTTTTCACCGTTCTAGCGCACTTGTCTCGATCTCACTTGTCATGATACTCTCACTACTATGTTTTAATTGTTTTTAATACGTTATTAATTTTTTTGTTTTAGTTTGTG